TAATTGAGCCAGATCTCTGTCCCCCATTCTGAAGTGCAGTGGCACTTCCACTTCCTGGGTTTAAGTGAGTCTCCTGCTTCAGCTTCCTGAGTGGCTGGGACTACAGGTGTGTGCTACCACTCCTGGCTAAAATTTTTGTATTTTTAGTAGAGATGGTGTTTCTCCATGTTGGCCAGGCTGGTCTCAAATTCCTGACCGAAGGTGATCCTCCTGCCTTGGCCTTCCCAAGTGCTGGGATTATGGACATGAGCCACTGTGCCAGCCAATTTTTGTAGTTTTTGTAGAGATAGGGTTTTGCCATGTTTCCCAGCCTGGTCCTGTTGATCTTCCTGCCTTGGCCTCCCAAAATGCTGGGATTATTGGTGTGAGCCACCGTGCCTGGCTGGGGTACAGTAATAAGATACATCTGGAGTATTAAAGGTCAACCCCAATTCAGTTTAAATAAGATGGATTCCCTTTGGATATAAGGGAGATTGCTTTTACCTCCAGGGCAGTTAAACACAGGAGTGGCTACAGGAATGACTTTGGAGTTTCCATCTTGAGAAATCTTTAAGAGGGAGAAAGTCCAGGAATTTCAGGCAGAAAAGTCTTTCCCTAACTGCAGGCAGGTTAGATGGTCTGCTACTTTTCTTCAGTTTCTGATTCTTTGATTCTTACAACGAGTCATTTTCTTCTATTCAGATAGAGGTGTCTTTGTTCAGTTATCTTATTGATGTGCCAAAGAAGAGAGACAAGTCAGGAGTGGCTAAAATGTATATTTTGGTAGAAATAATTTCATTTAAATATTCAGCAGACAAAAGCTTTCTGTGTCAAATTGGTATAAAAGTTTCTAAGCAATCTCAATTCCTGTACTTATCTCATTATAGGCTAGTAACAAACTAACCTCCCTCTTCTGTGGCTGGACTATTTCTAACTGGACATTTATTTTATTTATTTTGAGACAAAGTCTTGCTCTTGTCCACCAGACTGGAGTGCAGTGGTGTGCATCTTGGCTCACTACAACTTCCACCTCCCAGGTTCAAGCCATTCTCCTGCCTCAGCCTCCCGAGTAGCTGGGATTGCAGGCATGCACCACCATGCCCGGCTAATTTTTGCATTTGTAGTAGAGACGGGGTTTCACCATGTTGGCCAGGCTGGTCTGGAACTCCTGACCTCAGGTGATCTGCCCGCCTTGGCCTCCCAAAGTGCTGGGATTACAGGCTTGAGCCACGCCCAGCCTGGACCGACATTTTAATTTTATTAAGGCCTGCTGCTGCTTGTTTAGGCTCCCTGTGTTGTGTGCTTTTTTGTTCTTTATTGGTATGTTATGTATTTGTGAAAAACAAAACAATTCTATTAATAATGTAAGACAAATACAAGATTAGTAGGATTGAGCTTGATTCATCCAAAGAGCATTTCGTGAAAATAAATCACCATGGGTGGGCTGTAAGATTATGTTTTATTCTTCAGAATATTCATTAACTGCTTGATTCAGACAGAATGAAGAATTCAGTCAGATCCTATATGTGTAGCAGGAGGCCGTGTCCCACCAGCAGAAATGAAACTACTTGAACTAATAAGTTGTCTTAGTCTGAATTCTAGAGTTTTTTTTTTAATGTGGAGTTTTGTTTTTCTTTTATATTTATAGTTTAGGTTATTTTAGGGACACTTATTGCAGGACTTGTGTGTCTGATCCAGTGCATTTGATCTTGCTGCTTTTTACAATGGATGTAACCATAGGAAACTAATAGGTGACCCTCTCTGAGTTTCAGTTCATAATTGCGATGGCTGTCATTCTGGAAAGCCTTATACTCTAGTTTTGCTTGTAGTCACATTGTATAGAACATTTTATATGTTATTTCCTTAGAATGTCCCAGAAATTCATGAAATGTTAAAAGTAGCATATTCCTGAGATTTTGCTGTGTTTTGGATCTAAGAATATATATTTTTAGTTCAAAGACTTCTCGGCTGGGTGAGGTGGCTCACGCCTGTAATCTCAGCCCTTTGGGAGGCCAAGGCAAGTAGATTACCTGAGGTCAGGAGTTCAAGACCAGCCTGGCCAACACAGTGAAACCCTGTCTCTACTAAAAATACAAAAAATTTAGTCAAGCGTGGTGGGGTGGTGGGTACCTGTAATCCCAGCTACTTGGGAGGCTGAGGCAGGAGAATCACTTGAACCTGGGAGGCACAGCTTTCAGTGAGCCGAGATTGCGCTGCTGCACTCCAGCCTGGAAAACAAGAACGAAACTCTGTCTGAAAAAATGGAAGAAAAAAAAAAGGCCACACGTGGTGGCCCATGCCTGTAATCCCAGCACTTTGGGAGTCCTAGGCGGGTGGATCACAAGGTCAGGAGTTCGAGACCAGCCTGGCCAATATGGTGAAACCTCATCTCTACTAAAAATAGAAAAGTTAGCTGGGCATGGTGGCTTAGGCTTGTAGTCCCAGCTACTTGGGAGGCTGAGGCAGAAGAATTGCTTGAACCCGGGAGACGGAGGTTGCAGCGAGCCGAGATTGTGCCACTTCACTCTAGCCTGGGTGACAAAGCGAGACTCCATCTCAAAAAGAAAAAATTAAAAAAAAGAAAACTAGGCCAGGTGTAGTGGCTTTAATGCCTATAATCCTAGCACTTTGGGAGGCCAAAGTAGGCAGATCACTTGAAGCCTGGAGTTCGAGACCAGCCTGGCCAACATGGCAAAACC